CATCTTTCTCTTTCTTTGAGCTTCCTTGTCCTCTTTCTTGTTGGAGTAAAAGGAAAATTCTGTAACCTTGGAAACCAGGTTACACTTAGGATTGGAAACCAGGTTACACTTAGGATTGGAAACCAAGAGATAACTCAATATTACCATTTCTGGTACCTTGGTTGAAAAATTCATAACAAGGGAGAGATGCTGAGTGTTGGGCAGTCAAGAAACAACATGTTCAGAAAATGAATGTGGCGGAAATGTGAATGCTAAGATGGATGAGTGGGAAAACTAGAAAGGATAGGATCAAAATGAAGCCATTCATAGAAACCTAGGAGCAGCTCCAATAAATGAAAAAATGAGAGAGAGTTGGCTAAGACGGCTTGGTCATGTGATTTGTTACAAGTGGAAGGGGCTAGAAGAGCTAGGGTAGATCAAAAAGGACATGGGTAGGAGTAGTGAGAAATTATTTAAGCACTAACAATTTTTACAGTGGATATGGTTTTAAATAGTACAGATTGGTGAAACAGGATTCATGTAGCCACTCCCATATAGTTGGGATAAGGTATGGATGATGATGATGATGACACCTTGAATGTCGTCTTTGAAGTTTGACACAGTATATTTATGTACTTATTGTCTGTTTTAGAAGCCTTTTTGTTACCATTTCAGCTCATTATTTTTGGGGATATTATCTAAAATAGTTTATGTTGTTCTGATTGCAGGGAAAGCTTGTAGGAGAAAAGGCTTTTATCCGTATTGCTCCAGCCATTGCTGGTGTGGCTGATAGGTCAACGGTACATAATCTTTTCAAGGCACTTTCTGGAGGAGAACAGGGGATCTCTTTAAGCCTGTGGATCATGTATATTGAAGAACTTCTTAAGTAAGCCTGTTACTTTTCATGAGGAATAGACCATTTGTTAAAATTCCATTTACTAATTTTTATACATAGAAACTAAATAAGAAACAACTGAGCTTGATTCCATTGGCCTTTCTGCCGCAGCTACTTTCCCCAGATATTTTGTTTTATTGGACTTCCTTTTCGTTTGCTTTCTGCTTTTTTTGGTTCTTATATACTTGTGCAATATACTTAATCATCAATAAAAGGTTTCATTAAACAAGTGTATTCTACTTACTAAACCACCAGAGCAAGTGATAGATTTTCCTTCTCAAGTATAAACTGATTTCCTAGCAACAAAAATAACTTTCTGTAAGACGATTATATTATTTACCCCCTATAATGGCCATTGGTCAATGTTGGTCCCAGCTATGTGGGGTCTTGGGAGAGGTGGGCTTGATGCAGGCCTAGTTTTTTGCATTTTTGTTCTTTTGCTCAAAGTGGCTGCTTTCAAACTCGAACCTGTGTTCTCACACTTGCGAGCCCAAGATTTTACCATTATGTGAAGCAATGGCCCTTTATATTATTTACACCCTAGCCTCTCTAATATCATACAGTTGGGTTTGGTAGTAGTCCTCCTTTCCTTCTATTTTCCTCCTTTAGACCTCTTTCTTTTCTTTACCTTCTATTTTCCATCCTTCCCTCTGGAGGGGGTCCCTAACAGTGTTGCATTGATGATGGTAACTTCTGCAGTTCCTCATATGGCCCTCTGGAGGGTCCCTTCTCTCTTTCTCTCACACACACACGCGTGCGTGCACACATGCAGTTCTCCTCATGGTGATGAGACCTTTGATTTCTACACAATTGGTCCACACCTTATTTATCAAGGCCAAGTGCACCAATTTAGATAACCTGTGAACTTGAACCCAAAGCCAAGGTCCAGACAAACCTCTAGAAGATTGGAGCACAATGGGAAAGGACATAGGCCCAAGGCATGGACTCAATCATTTTGAACCCTAGGATGAAGGATTGTATTTTGATTCCTTGGTTTTGATCATAAATTTGTAATTGAAGGAAACATCACATTGCTGATACTTTGCCACCTACCATGCTGGGCCACACAACCAGCTCAAAGATTGAGTAAGCCTGTGTCTCTTCAAAAAGATTCAAATTTTGGTTCATTGTATCACATGGTCTTGCCTTCTAGGACATGATCTAGGTCAACCTGGAAGTGCCATGTGGCATGCCTGTGAGAGATGCCATGTCTAAATGATGGATACAAACGTTCCTTATTGGCTTCTTTTGCCTCCAAGATGAATACTTTTCTATCCTCCCTTTTATCTCCCCTGGTTTCTTCTTCATTTCTCAGATAAGGTCCAGGAGGAATACCATACATTCTCCATTTAGGATTGGATRTGTTTTGCAATTGTATCCAATCATCTCTTTGAACAAGAGTGCCTCCCCTAAAGTTTACTCTGGAAGTTAACAGGACACAGATTTTCCATCATCTTGATTTATGAGAGGGATATCATGGAGAACCAATGACTTAATTGCAAAATTCTAAACATTCAGTTATTGAAAGACAATTCTGTAGAAAAAGATTTTGCACATGTTCCCTGGGTTCTAATGCAATCAATATCCATTTTACTACTTTTGAATCCTCTGAAGTACTAACAAAGCTCCTAATCACACAATAATGTGGAAGATCTCCCTCTGAAGTAACTTCTCTCTTATCAGACTTTGTTAATGCTTTGTAAAATTTGTGTGTAACAGGACAGTTTTTTCACCATCTTGATTTATGAGAGTGGTATCATGGAGAACCAATGACTTAATTGCAAAATGCTGAACATTATTCTGTTCTTGAAAAACAATTCTTCCCCATTACAAAATATTGCTTACATCCATTTTTAAGGAGAAAATAATGTGGAATAAGATTTTGCACATGTTCCCTGGGTTTCAATGCAATCAAAATCCATTTTCTACTTCTGAATCCTCTGAAAGTACTGACAAAGCTCCTAACAATAATGTGGAAGATCTCCCTCTTCATATTCAACTCCCATTGCTTTTGAAGAGAATTTTCTCCTATAAGTTTTGTTAAGGATTTGTCAAATTTGTACGGGTATTCCTGAATTTTCTTGATTTTAGATGCTATACTTGTTTTTATTTTTATTTTTTTATTTAGGGTTCATGATGGGCGGAAATCATATCAGGCTCGAGAAGCATCTCTACTCTCTGATGAGCAAGTCTTATGCATTGGTTCTAGCAGTAAACGACCTGTTCTAAAATGGGAGAATAGCATGGCTTGGCCCGGAAAGCTTACCTTGACAGATAAAGCACTTTATTTTGAGGTATATTTTCTGTCATTTAGCTGAATAGTTTACTGAAAATTTGTATCATAGAATCAATCAAAAGTATCATAGAAACATAATTTAGTGGACTACATTTTGCTTTCCTGATGGTATTGTGGTTTTGGTAGAATGCTTGAGTGATGTAATAGGTATTTTACGCCAAAACAAATAATATTTACATAAAAGACACAGAAAAGGACTTGGGAAAGTATCAGACATGGGATTTCCACTTAAAAAGTTAAAATTGAAGTGTTCAACATGGACATGTCACCATTTTTGAAGTCCATGTAACATAATGCACAACCATATATGCACTCTGAAGAGGAGATACAAGATGCTAATAAAAATATTATATTGTTCTATTTTGCATTGCTTATGTATCTTGGCATAGGGGTATTTTTCCTTTCTACTGATTATTATATTAATAGTTGATGGGGGCCAGCATCCCTAATTGATTACCCTCAGACAATCTCTTCTACTTCTCCTTGCTGAATTAATATATTCTGGGGAAAATTCCCGATTAGTACCCTGTACTTTGGGCCTAGTGCCACTTTGGCCCCCAAACTTTAAAATGCGACAATTCAGTACCCGAACTTTCAAAACGTGCCAACTTAGTACCTGCTGCTAACCAGCTGTCAGTTATGTGTATCACGTGACATCATGTGCGACTTCAAACTTTTGAAAATGACAAAACTACCCATTCCAAATAAAACACTGTTCATCATCTTCTTCCTGAAGAAGATGAAACAAAGATGTAAGTTTTGGGTATAGAGACTGGGTAAATGTTCATCTGGGTAAGAAGTAACCAGAAACCATCTTACCATATCAAGACTGGGTAAATGTTCATCTGAGTAAGAAGTAACCAGAAACCATTGAGATTGGGTAAATGTTCATCATCTTACCGTAATGGTAAGATGATGAACATTATGGTAAGATGGTTTTGCACCATCAAAGTCCCTGGTTCTGGACCATTAGAATGAATAACCAAGTGAGAATCATTATGGTTGTTGTTCCTGTGGCTCTGGACATCACCATCAGCTCTGATGGCCAAACCGAAAGAAAGCTAGGGGCTTTCCTGGATTGAGGAGAGAGCCACAGAGTCGGCAGTTGCCAGAAAATGCACAAGGTATTCAGCCAGAAGGTTGGTTTTTGACAAATTGCTTTGGGCAGAGATTTGGGCATTTGGATGGTTGATAAAGAAAATTAGATGACACCCAAAGGGCATTTGCACCCTTTCACATGCTATTTAATGGATAATTAACAGTAGGTACTATGTTGGCATGTTTTGGAAGTTCTGGCACTGAATTGTYGCATTTAAAGTTTGGGGACCAAAGTGGCACTAGACCAAAGTATAGGGTACTAATTGGGAATTTCCCCTATATTCTATTCATCCCACAAAACTACTTGGCATCAGAGCAGGAGGGGAAAAGATTTTTCTCTGCTTTCTGCTAAGTAATTGAATACCAGACCCCTACTAATGTCAACAGGCCACACTATCACTTTGGCAGGTGTATGGACAGCCTGCATCTCTTCAAGGAAAGCCCTAGAATCTGTTAGTGCTTGATTTATGGGGTTTTTGGTTCAGAAATCAAAACTTGTTTGAAGAAAATTCATAGGAAATAAAATTTTGAATTATCCAATTGCTTTTGATTGTCTGTTTTCTTTATTGGCCAGTGGTGCTTGCAGGTCTGGTTCAAATGCCTTTATTGAATAAAACAAAATTAACTCCATCTATTTGATAAGGATTTGAGGTTTCTCTCCTCAAAACTCAACTCCTATTTTACCAYCGTTCTCTTATCAGTTAGAATTGGGTACTTTCTCAAACCATACCAATTACACAATTACCACGATATAATATCATACAATTAATTATTACCTATGGTTAGAAAACCGGATCCGACCAGCTAGTCGGACCGGTTAAACTGTGACCTGGGACCTTGGCTGGTTCGGTCATGCCCCAATAACCACACTTGATCAATAACCGGTAACCAGCTGATCGGCCGGTTTAACCGGAAAACTGGTGAACCATTCCCGGTTTTGTGAAACCACCCGGGTCCTTAAACAATTGAAATTTTAAAATGTCTTTAGTAATACTTGAACCCATGACCTCTTGTTTCCATATATTTTTTTTTGATAAATACCTCTTAATTCCATATATTGCTTAATTACCATTAGTCCACTTCTTTATTGTGTTAACTAGTGACTCTTTATTGTACACATTGCTTTATTACCCACGTATTTTAAAGAAAATGTAAATTAAGAGACTTGAACCCTAGTCATTTGCTTTAAAAATTAAGAAACTTGCCATCTATCTACCAGAACCTCTGACCCATGAGCCTCTCCCTCCTTTGGTTCTATGCCCGGTCCGGTTCTCTGAACATTGATTATTACCTTAATCTCAGATCATACCAGTTTTATGATCACCATGATCTAAAACCATAAAGGCAAACAAAAATAAAAACAAAAAACAAAAAACAAAACCAACAATTGAACATCATAAGAAACAAAATCCTCTTGCCCCTATTTCTGTTTCTTTGTGTGTGTGTGTTGTGTGTAGGGTTTGAGTTTTCATAACAGTGTGTTTAGCTTCAAACAAAATATGATAAGAAATTAAAGTGAAATGGGATGAAAGAAAACCTTCAAGCAAGATCTCAACCATTGGTTCATTATACTGTTAGAGACAACAAGAATGAAAAAAGAAAAAAAAAACATTGCTTGAGTTAAAAGAAGAATATTACTGGGCTGCTCCAGCACAATTTACTATTAAACATGTTAAAAGTGTCAATGCTCTAGAGAATTGTTGGTATTAAAATTTTGAGGAAATTTTCAGACAATATGACTGAAACAATTGTGCTATTATTATTTTTAGTAAATCCCATTTGGGTATCATATGGATAGTAGGATGGGCCATGGTGCTTGGGAGGTGATTTCAATGTAATTAGATTCTTGGAAAAAACAAATAGTCCTAGGCAGAGATCAACCACGACCCACGAGTATGAGGAGATTTAATCAGTTTATCGCCTATGAACTTAAAGAGATCCCATTGTCACATAGGTATTTTACTTGGTCCAACCTCCAAGTTAGTCCAATTTGTTCTAAGCTRGACAGATTCTTATTTTTAAATGATTGGGAAGAACATTGGGGGAACCTGAACTCTAGAGCACTTCCGAGGGTGACCTCCGACCATTGGCTTATTGTAATTTGTAAGGAGGTGAGAAATGCAGGTCCTACTCCATTTAGATTTGAAAACATGTGGTTAGGACACSTGAGATTCATTAAGAAAGTTAAAGAGTGGTGATTAGAGAGCAATCCAACAATGGAATGGAGTGGGATGCGATTTCACCAAAAGCTCCAATTTTTGAAAGATAGAATCAAGGAATGGAATCGTTTAGAGTTTGGGAGATTGGAGGAAAGGAAGCAGAATGTGATTGCACAAATTGAAGTCATGGATAGCAAAGAAGGGAGGGGTTGCCTAACAGAAGAGGATAAGGAACAAAAATGGAAATTGCACAAACAGTTAGAGGACTATCTTATTCAGGAGGAAATAAGTTGGAGGCAAAAGTCAAGATGCAAATGGTTGAAAGAGCGGGATAGGAATACCAAGTTTTTTTATGCTGTGGCAAGTGGAAGAAGGAGAAGAAACATTATTTCAAGTTTGGAGATTGAAGGGACAACAATTTTCAATCAAAGAGAGATCGCAGGGGCATTTGCAGATCTTTTTAGGTCTATATTTAGAAGGCCCCAAAATAATAAGGTGTGGCTCGAGGGGTTGGAATGGCCAACACTGAAGCTAGAAGATAGGGAGTCACTGGAAAAGAAATTTGAATTGGAGGAGATAAAGGAGGCAATATTCTCTATGGATAGATCAAAGGCACCGYGTCTAGATGGTTTTATGATGTTTTTTTATCAAGATTGTTGGGAGATACTAAAAGAGGACCTAATGCTGGTATGTGATGAATTCCATACTAGAGGAGTGATTAAGCTTGGGCTAAATTCCACTTTCATTGCCTTGGTACCCAAGAAAAGTGATGCAAACCATCTGAAGGACTACAGGCCGATTAGCTTAGTTAACAACTTGTATAAGATCATCACTAAGGTGTTGTCCATTAGAATTAGGAAGGTGCTCCTAGAAATCATAGCAAATAACCAAGGAGCTTTTGTGAAGGGGAGGCAGATAACAGATCCAATACTTATAGCAAATGAGAGTCTGGAGAACTTCAAGAGATGATCAATTTTGGGTTGGTTTGCAAATTAGACTTGGAAAATGCTTATGACTTGGTTGATTGGTCTTTCTTGGTGGCGGTGATGATCAATTTTGGGTTTGGAGATAAATTGTGCAAATGGGTGATGGACTGCATTAGGAATTGCCATTACTCCATCTTGGTGAATGGGACAATGATGGACTATTTTCCAGCTTTGAGAGGGATTAGACAAGGAGATCCCCTCTCCCCTTTTTTGTTTACATTGGTCGCAAAATTGCTAGGGAGACTAATCTCCAAAGAAAATTCTAGGGATTTAATAAAGGGTTGGAGAGTTGGAAGAGAGAACATACCAATCACACTTGCAATTTGCAGATGACACAATTCTTTTTTGTGAAGGAGGGGATCTCAATAGGATAGAAACTTGACACTCACTATACAACTTTTTAAGCAAATGTCCAACCTTAAAGTGAATTTTGATAAAAGTTGTATAGTTGGAGTCAATATGGGGGAAGGGGAGGTATGTGAGTGTGTAGACATTTTGGGGTGTGTTAGTGTGTAGTATCTAATTGGCCCTTAAACTACCTTGGTTTGCCATTGGGAGATAATCCTTAGAAAGATGAATTTTGGGTTCTAGTTGTGGAGAGGTTTGAAAAGAGACTTGCCAATTGGAAGAAAAACTATTTGTCTATTGGAGGGAGAATCACACTAATTAGGTCCACACTAGCTAACCTTCCTGTATGTTTTTTGTCAGTCTTTAAGATTCCAGTTAGGGTGGCTTATAGGTTGGAAAAACTTATGAGTGATTTTCTCTGGGAGTCGGGGGAGGAGAAGGACCATAGGGTTAGGTGGGAGGTGGTGTGTAGGAGTAAGAAGGAGGGAGGTTTGGAAATTGGGAACATAAGGAGTAGGAACCTAGCATTACTAGGGAAATGGCTTTGGAGAATTTCATTGGAGGAAGAAAAACTTTGGGTTAAGATAGTGGGACGTATTCATGGRGTGGTAGACAATGGATGGGACTCTGAGATTCTAGCAAGGACTACAAGAGCATCTCCCTGGAAAGCTATTCAAGCTATTTTGCCCGTGTTCTCTCCATGGAGCAAGTATGGCTTACACTCAGGCAACCTAATTAAATTCTGGGAACATGTTTGGGTTGGGGATTCCCCTCTGAAAGATCAATTTCCAACTCTTTTTGCTATCTCTACCCTTAAAAATGAATCAGTTTCCTCCTTCCTTGTACCTTTTAACTCACCGTCTGGATTCCGTTGGAACCTAGGTTTGAGAAGAGATATCAGGGACACAGAGTTAGACTGTATTTCAGCCTTATTATCCATCCTTGAAGGGATCTTCCTAGAGCCAACAAAGGCAGACAATAGAATTTGGATACTCACTCCCTCAGGTTCCTACACTTGTGCTTCTTTCTTTAAGGCCCTAATGCAACCTTCTTCTGTTGGACTGWCCTTCCTTGTTAAAGAGGTGTGGTGTCAACCTGTACCTCCGAAGGTTGGGAGTTTCTATTGGGAAGCCTTTCTGGAAAGAGTTAATATAGGAGATTTACTTCAAAGGAAAAGACCCAATAGCTATTTGTCTCCTCATTGGTGTGTCCTCTGTAAATCTGATGGTGAGTCTGGATACCATCTACTCATCTCCTGTCAGTTTGCTAAAGCTATTTGGGAATGGTTTACTTCTTTGTTTGGGTGCAGGTGGACTCCCCATTTGAATGTGCAAAGCTTATTCATTTCCATGCCCAATTGCTCAACAAAAAGGGCCAAGATCAGGTGGAGATGTGTTAGGGCTGCAGTATGCTGGACTGTTTGGGAGGAGAGAAATTCACGGACTTTTTTAGATAAAGAGAGAAACTTGGAAGTAATATTGGAGATTATTCACATTAGGGTGATACATTGGTTGAAAACTTTGGAATTGTTTGCAGATTTCTTATTTGATGAGATGCTAAGGAATTGGAAGGAAATTGCAAAATTAGCTTCAGCTAAGAAAGCATCGAGCTCTTGTTGGACCCCTCCACCTTGCGGCTTTCTCAAACTGAACTTTGATGGCAGTAGTTTGGGCAATCCAGGGCCCTCCAAAATAGGGGGAGTGTCGGAGTGATAAGAGATGAAAAAGGGAATCTGTTAACTATGTATTTTGGTCCAATTGAGGTGGGAGATTCCTTGAGGGCTGAGATACTAGAAGTGAAAGAATGGTAGGATCCATCTAATGGACGCCAAAAAGGTTGCGGAATGGGTGGGCGAATTTCAAAAAATTTTCCTACCTTCTTCCAACTGGGAATTATATTCCCTAAATTTAGAATACAATATTCAAGGATCCTACTTGAACCATAATCGAACCAGATCTGAACCAAAAAGAAAAGGGAGGAATATACCTGATCCGGAGAAGCAGTATCTCCCAAAGTT